GATGGCAAGTTGCTGAGGGCCATCCAGTCATTGTATTCTGATAGCAGGTGCTGTGTCAGAGTTAATGACGATAAGTCAAAACCGTTCAACGTTGGCACTTGTCACCGCCAATGCACCGTCCTGCCCCCTCTCTTGTTTGCGTTGTACATGGATAGAGTAGCCAAGAGCAGCCAAGTCCATGAGCGTATAGGTGCAAGAGATGCGAAGACGACAAGGTTAGTGTTTGCAGACGACCTTGTTCTATTAGCATCTTCTAAAACTGATCTACAGTGCTCCGCAGAAAAGTTCGCAGCCGTGTGCGACGTGACAGGCATGAATGTGAACGCATCTAAAACGAAAAGCCTAGTGCTTTCTCGTTTTCCTGCCCGTTGCTTTCTTGAGATTAATGGAGAGGCAGTGAAGCAGGTGGAGAAGTTCAAGTATCTCGGAATCGCACTTAATAGTGATGGAAAGTTGGAGGAAGAGATCGACCGGTGAACTGGAATGGCCAGTGGCGTTCTGCGTGAAATAGCCTGATCCACCGTGACTAAAGCAGTGCTCAGTCTGAAAACTAAGCTCTCGATATTCAAGTCGATCTTTATCTCCATGCTTAAATGCGGTCATGAGTCGTGGACCATCGCTGAAAAACTTCGAATCCGGATGCAAGCAGTTGAAATAGGCTTTCTGAGATGAGTATCTGGCCTCATTCTCGACTGACATTGATATGGTCCGCGAGAGCCTTGGTGTAGAGCTAATGGATCTTCAGATTGAGAAGTCACAGCGGTGATGGCTAGGGCATGCGTTGAGAATGTTTCAGTTGTTGTTCCAGAAAGGAAGGTGAAAAACAGCTTCTTGTCCACCCTATCAATGAAGGCGCAGCTGACGGCCGAGATGTAATTGGTGCAAATATACTGAATGAGTCTGTTGTAGACTTCGGTTGTCTTTTGCTGAGCATCAGTCTCTGACACAGGATCGGAAACATTGGAAGCATGTCGACGCTTTTGATTCAGTCAGAAAGGAGAAATCGCCATGGATATTGAAGATAAAGATTTATTCTATTCATGATCCGTTGTCTTTCCATGAGCATAATCCCGTCTTCAATTTTACTGGTATAACTTGCATTTTTTCTAATCATTTTCAGTTTAACTTCTCCAGCTTTTCTTTCACAGATGTTGATCGAACCTCGGAAAAAAGGCCAATCGTTTAGACGAGACTTAGAAAAATTGTTATGTACTGATTGAGGTTTCCTGACACCCTACCTTTACCGTGAATTTTACTTGATGACATCGTAAATTGTTAGTTGTCAATAAATTCTTTGTTGATAGATCTTTGTAAATTTATCTCATATGCATGCGATTCTAAAGGATCCAGAGAGAATATTCCTGAGTGTTGAGTTGTCTCCTATAGATGGATGCTGAGACGTTTATTTAGCCACATATATCTGTCTGCTACTTTGGTGCACACCGATACCTGTCCAAACATATACAGGGCTGACTCAGACCTGTGAAGCTGTTCATATTGGGAACACGCCTAGTCTTAACGGTCGCCCACGCGTACCATACGAAATATCGATGTCCACTGAGCTAAAGGAAGCGTGATTTCGTCGGCAGAACACCGCAATCACAGTTTCTAAAAACAGTTATAATCGCAAACATTGAACCGTAGTTACAAAAGGAATTTTGATCTGACATCCGACCGTGTTTGCGTGCGCTCATATCTTTCTACCTGTTTGACAGAGAATGAGACAAAAAGAAGCAATACAAATTCTTGCATCAGTTCATGAGCAACAACTTTGATTCAAAAATAGACCCTGCACGGTAAAAACTGTCACCCATCACTTATATGAGATAAATATCAGCCGCCAACGTACAATAGTTTCTTCGTACGTTCAAACACCAACCTTTTTTCCGCTGTGCAAACTCGTTAATTCCAGTTTATCAATGACCGATTGTCCCCTGGCTTCGAACTGACTAACTGAGTGACTGTAAGCAGACCTCTCGCTATCTTGTTCATCTGTGTTGCAGCCTGGCCTCATGGTATAATCTGCAGTGCTTCGATTCCTACCTCACGCGAGAAGCTTATAGTCTTGAGTGTATGATTTATGCTCAATCAGTGTGTCGGACATGGCGAACCTTCTTTTCATATCTCCCCAGAGCAAGGTTACCTATACTAGGGGTAAACAGTATCACTCCTTACGAGGTCCTATCCCTCATCCTCGTTATGCGCTGAAGCCAACGTTGCTCTATGCAGTTTAACCGTCGTTCTACCTGCATTCTCTTGAACCATGGTTGCCATTTCGTAGACAAGACTGCCCTTACAGAAGAAGGGTGTGAACAGGATTTTTATGAAACAGACACTCATTTCTCAGCCATTCTATTGGGCAGGTTTCCAAAAGCACTGGAGGCTACAGAGATCCATCTAATTAACTAAGGGTAGATGCTGCTATCCCTGTCGGCGATGCATTCGAGATGCTTACACTGGCAAACCACCCAAAGGGATTAACATCCATTTTCTGCTAGTAGATCACCTGCACCGGATTGGTCCCTTATAACATTTTGAAGCGTTAAAGTTCGGCTTCCACACCAATGTCGAAGCTGTCAGGCGATAAAGCGCGCTGCCGGTACCGCTCACCAAACAAATATAATCTAGGTCAGGAGGATAGCCGTTCAGATATTTTAAAATATGTGTTCCTTTTATGATGATGCATTCGTCCGTGCCATGGTTGGCAGTGTTTCAGAGAAGAAAGTCGTGAACGATGCTGAATAGCAAAGGCGAAAATATATCTGTCTGTTGAACTCCAGAGTTAATAGTGATCCACTCAAGTAGCTTAGCTCTTTTTCGACTTTGGCAGCAGACTTGGCTCCTGCAGGCATCTCGTTCAAAATGGATCTGATTTTCTCAGATATCCAATAGCAGTTTAAGATTTGTCACAGCATCAGACGATGCAGAGAATCAAATGCAGCTCTTCAGTCTAAGTAACTGCCAACGAATACAACTATAATTACCGTAGTGGCGAATTACTGACTAGATGCATCAAATATGCTGGTTTGAGAGGACACAGTATTTCAGAAAGTGTGTTTTGCCTTGTTGTTCATTCTGCAGATATTCAGTGAGTCATGGCATTCAGTTACTCATAACATTAAATTCGAAATAGCGCTTGATTACCACGTCGGACCATGGAAACTACTTAATGGGTGTTGGCGAGCTGCATTGGACAACGCTATTAATGCGATCCACTTGACAGCTGGACGAAAACTGCTGTCGGAGATGTTTACCAAAGATAAGTTTTTAGCTCATTGCGAAATCGCTCTTTTTTGTCATGGCAACAAATAGAAGCTGAGTCGTATCTGGTGGACAACCACTAGTGGACACATCTCATTCACATCAGTGGTCACGACATGCTTAGTGTGAATCGCCTCAGGGACCGTCCAAAGTTGCGATGGGTGTTGGATGTGCTGATTGGCATCTGCTTGGTGGTGATCGTCGTGTTCTTGGCGTTGAACTTCCTGCACACACCACATTCGGATGCAAATACCACGTCGTCTCCCATGTTCGCAAGTTTTGGTAATATTTATTTTTTTATATACCGTATATAAGCCTTGTCCAGTAACATATAGAAATGAGCGACGAGTTTTGCCTCTGTAATATTCAATTTTAGCAGATGAAGGTACCACGCATTCCTCTGTATAAGCATTATCTACCTGAGAAGGGCAGCACTGTACGCTGCATTGTACGCTTCATCTCCATATTCATTAAATAATTTGTTTGTTAAGTACAAGGCTTTCTGAATCAAGCTAAAGCTGAGCTTGTTATATAATCTCTACAGGAGCGCTCTAAAGCTACAGTGGGCCTTTCGTCACAGCTACAAAGGCTATGTGAACCTAAATGAATGCTGTGGGCCAACCGAATTATTTCGCTTTCATGTGAATCATGGACTTGACTTCACAAACAATGAGGGTCTACGTAGACGAAGCTTCTACAGGATGTTACACGACTCAGACCCACATGATTCTCATCCACTAACAGACAATTCCAAAATACCAAGTTCAAAACGGACTTGAGAATCAAAACTCTTAGCAATACCCATTGAAAAATTTCAAAGACAGGAGATAGGTCTGCAAATCAGGGTGATGTGACTTGTAGCGATTTGGTATCAAAGGTAGGCTCTGAATATACTTTTAGCTGTTTCTTAATTTCTTTTATTGTTCCTGTGACATGACTTTGTTTGTACTCTTGTGGTATGTATAGAGTGACTCTGCTGTCAGCGTCGTTTCAAATAACTTATT